TCGGAAAGCCCTTTCCTCCCAGGTCTCGGATGTGAGGCCAGTTTCGCTGCGGAAACAGGTGGAATCCTTTATGGATACCAAGCTGAACATTGTCAGCAGGGTCCGCGATGCCATGGCAGCGGCCCAGGATAGACAAAAGGAGTACTCAGACAAACATGGAAGAGGAAACTTAAGTGTATTTAAAGTGGGGGACTTAGTGCTATTAGACACGAGGAACCTACCGCTAGACACTGTCAGCTCTGTCGGCAGCAACAAGCTGAAGCACCGCTTCATCGGACCTTTTGCAGTCCTGGCCAGACATGGTGCGTCGTACACCATCGACCTTCCAAAGTCAATGACGACGCACCCGACGTTCTATGTCGGACGTCTTAAGCGGTACTTTGACCCGCAGGGGGTTGCTGACTCGCAGACCCCCCTTGACCCAGCTCCTCGAAGCGAGGGCCGGTCACAGTCGTCGACGAGGGCGTCGGAGCAGGCACCCAAGCCTCGGTCGGGACGGCAAGGCTGCGGTCAAGACCGTACGCCGGAGGGGCTCCATACGAACGGACCCCGGCGCCATACGCCGAGTACGCTGAGTACGCCGGGTACGCACCATACGCGTACGTCTGGGAGTGTGCCGCAGGCGGCTCCGGACGTGGCAACAAAGCCTCGATCCGTCGGATCATGCGAAAGGCCTCGTCCAGATCGGACGAAGAGGCCCGGCGGTCCACCCGCAGGTGCAGGCTCGCGACCTCTCGCTCCACCAGGTCCAGGCGACCCGCAAGACGAGCGAGCTCGCCCTGATTCCCGGCCTGGGCGGCAGCATTACCGCCAGTCCCAAGGCCAAGTGCAATCTCAAGCACGAGGAGACGTTGACGGAGGCGGTCAACCTCAGGGTCCCGTGTCGGACCCGCAGTCGGAGCACTCGAACGAGAGTGGCTCTCGGGAGGCGCCGAGTACTCGTACTCGTACGAGGGCACCTCCGCCCCTGCTTGACCGGAATGGAGAAGTCCACTTCCACGTGGAGCGGATCCTCCAGGAGCAACGGTGTCGCGGGAAGCGACAGCTCCTCGTGAAGTGGAGGGGTTATGCCCACTCCGAGAACTCGTACGAGCCGATTGAACGGCTCCTGATTGACTGCCCGAAGGCTGTCGCAATCTGGGAACAGAAGCGGCGGCAGCTTCATAAGTAGTCCGGGGCTTCTTGCCCGAACGGGGTACGGATGATGAATACATACCGTACCCGCGCTCATCGTGAGCGCTAGAAGCCGCGCGCTTCAGGATGTCCCTTGGCAGCATACGCTTGCTGATCAAGTGGGCAAAGCTCACACGAAGATCACGCTGGTCCAGGATGTGGGACAGCTGCTGATCTTCATGGAGTTCCCATAACTCCGTGGGCGAGTACTTGAGAGTCTCCACCCACGCCCAGAACATGTCCTCACAAGAACTCCATGTGGGACAGTTCTCGGGCATAACCCAGGGGTATCCCCAAACAGGATAGAGACCACCCCGGGTCTCGGGCTTCTTACGACAAGTCGTGAAGTCCTTAAGGGGAATGCGGTGTGGCGCGAGAAGCACACACCGAGCAGCCTCCACGTTGTCGACGAACAACTGTTCTTTCTGAACAAGGGCTCGTTCATAGATGCCCCTAGAAGTGTGGCCGCCCACAAGGCCACGAGGAGCGACAAGAAGCTCTAAGAAGAGGTCAGCCCCAGAGCTCTCTTCGGGAGGCCAATACCCTCTTGAGTTGATGGCAGCTCCCTGGCTGACGGGTGCCGCCACCGAACCCCCACGCACACGCCGGGCAGCTTGGAAATCCTCCTGCTGCTGGTCGAGGTCATTCGAGACCTCCCGGGGCTCAACAATGGCACCCTCCTCTTCCTCTTCTTCCTCCTTCTCCTCCTCCTCATCCGAGGAGCCGAAGAGACTCTGATAGGAGCGTCGAGTCTCCTTCTCCTCGCGGAGTGGAGACTTAGAGGCGGTACGCTTCTTTGAGGGCTTGGCGCCTTCGGCTTTAGAGGCCTTAGCGCGCGCAAGACCCTCGGCAAGCGAGAGGCGTTTGCGAGGACTCCCTTCCTCATCGCCACCGGCTTTGGGAGTGCCCTTAGCCTTAACGGCCGGACTCTCAGAGCGCACAAAGGTCCTGGGACTGTGATCACCGTGATCACTAGCGGACGACTGCACGCTGTCTTCTTTGTGCTCACTGGGCACTGGGCTGTGCCCTCCCACAGAGCCCGCAGGAGCATCATGAGTGCTCTCGAACTCGGCATCGTCCTCACTGCCCGAGTTGAACTCATGTTCTACGAACCGAGGGTTCGGACGATTGTCTGAAGACGAGGGCGACGGACTGCGGCGCCTGCTTGCGCGCTTGTCCGCAGCCGCGTCACCCGAGGATCCGATCGCCTCGGAGGCCACCTGAGTAGCCTCCTTGAGTGCAGAGCCTTTGCCGTGAGGCTTAGTGCTCTTGGCCTGCGCCTTACCGGCTGCAGCCTTGGAGCGTGTCTTAGCACCGCTCTTAGCAGTGCCACGAGGCATGTTAACGGTCGAAGTGGAGACCTTGACGAAGAGCGCACAGGTTGCTGCTCGAGGGTCTAACTGTAAAGTGAGCCTCCGCCGCGCTCGCGCGGCCGAGTCGATGGTTTTCGACTTTGAGAATGAGAGTTTGTGACGAACATCTCTTCATTCTGATTGGTCGGTAAACCGAACCTAAGTGGGGGAGGATGTAACGGGGTACGTAGCACTAAGTGTACCCTGGTTACATGAAGTGTGACACTTCACACTTCAGGAGTATGACATGTCATACTCCGGGATATTTGGTACAAGGTACCAAGGTCATTCAAAACCAACCATTGGTTAAATGACATTGCATTTCTATAGGTAACTGATAGTTTGTATTAACCACAAACTTAACCTACCTATAAATATACTCAGTTTACAATCTACCTTATTTAGGTCACTTCGCTCTCTTTAATTAAAGAGGGGACCTGTGAACTGCCGTTCACTGAGAGTTTGTATACTCTCGGAAGATAACTTCCTCTAGCGCAAGGTGCTGTGTGACCCCGTCACAGGGGAGGAGTGTTGGACATTGATGTAAGAGCCAGCCAACGGGCAGGCGACCGGAAGCCAGACCCCCAAGGACCTTTACGCAAGTGCCGAGTGACAATGTTGAAGGTACGACATTTTGAATTGGTTTCACTATTGGGACCAATCAGATCGAGTGTAGGCGCGTGTCTTTTCAAATTATTGTGTAGTGTGCATGTAGAATCCAACTAAAAACTCCTTTGAATATATTTCTCACTTTCACTTCTACCTTCTGCCGAGCAAGTGCCAAACCAACAAAGGTGCTGGTGATGGCTATTGATGAGGCAAGTTTTCTACTTAAAGAGGAACACAAAAGGAGTAAATTATGTTGAGCTGGTTTGCAGAGCTGCGGCGGAAGTTAGTAAGACAGCGAAAGCAAGCAAGATGATGGTTTTCCTGGTGCTTGTTGACACCAATTCGCAGATGCACGACCCCTTACCATCACTCGTCTCATCGCGAAAGGCCAAACCGAAAGCACAGAGTTATTCTACCCGTTCGCTCTCACGCAGACGATGGATGTCGTGCTGAACGCGGGGAAACTGCCGCAAATCCTTCCGTATGACTATAAATCATTCGTTCTTCAGGGTGACCCCGATACGGCTTGGACCACGCTTGTTTCTTTGGGGCGGCCGCTGTGGTGTACTTTTGTCCCATCTCGAGATAGAGACGTTCTTCACGAAGCTCTTTTCTTGGCTGCAACTAAATTTTTGAATGGCTTGAGTCCTATTGAAGAGGTAAGTTACGCCGATTCGAAGACGCTGCATGGTGTCGCATCGATACTGTGCCGGATAGGCGTGCGCCCCCAGTCGAACGCACCTTTTGCATCGCAGGTCGTGTCGGATTTCATGGCTGTGCTCCATTACGTGAGTTACACTCGCGAGGAATACATTTGTGGCTACGTGTCGGAGCCTGTGTTGGCATTCGGAGCAGCGCAAATGTGGTACGAGAAGCTGTCTTCTCCGGGATCTGGAAGCTCGCTGCCATTGCAAAAGTACATTCTGCCTCACTTTCGAGATCTGCTACAACAGGGACTGCTCGATACCTCTGGTATTGGCCAAGTGGTGGCACGTATCTTCTTGTTGTTAGCTATGGACGCGACCATCATGGACGGACACCCACTTATTGAATTTTCACTCTGAGAAGGACAACATCGTTTTAAATGGAGAGTTTTGCTCGGTTGAGAAATTCCTCAAAGTACTTGACGGCTCGTTCGATCCTCCCTCTCATCCCGGCTCGAACGAAGGTAAGAGTACCAAACTCTTGGAAGTTGGGCTTACGAAGGATGGGAAAAAGGTCACAAAAGACACTGCGACACAAACACAGATGAACAACTTCAGATATTGGAAGAAGGGCTGGATGGTTGGCTTGGCTTGTCGGCTTTAGTCAATTCGTCGAACTGACCGTAATACCCACTACAGTGACGCTGTGGTATCTGCTGGGGCGTCGAGCGGCGGGTGTGCTGCCTCGTGGCCACAAAGAAGCGGATTTCATAATCCCGATTTTCCGCAGAGCCACCAACGAGGTTTCGTTTATTCTCGTCCGAGTGAAGAACAAGAAAGAAGCGGACGCATCGTTTCCGGACTCGGCATGTGAGCATCTGTGTTAGGAATGACGCAGAAAAGACATTGAATTTATCGAATTTCACATGACGCTCAGGGAAAGTAATCGGTCCAAGCCAGCCCAATCGTATCTCCTGTCTAAGGATGATTCGTATTCGCTATGTCTTCGAGGCCCGTGCCGGGCTCTAAAAGAGGGATCGAGGTCTTGGCCTTTATTATTGTCGCAAGAGATATCAATTTTACTTGCTGGAACCAAAAAAATTACTGCACTAGGTATTTGTCTTTTGAAAAACTGAATGACCTGTTTGACTGGGCCAGTGTAGTTGCGGTGCATGTGCTAAGTGGTCTCGTAGCAAACCAAGGTTGGTGCGGATACTGGGTTTCAGCTTGCGTTGGTTAGAGAGCGCATCAGCTTTCGACGTTGTGGTAACTGGGACCGTCATCTCCCATGGGATACGTACAGGTTGCACCACCAGATGTCGCGAGAATCGCGTCGTGTTCGTTCTAACAACTGGAAATTGATGCGCTTCTCTCTTTGCTCGAGTCGCAACGATCTCGTCCATCAAGACTTGTTGACGGTCTTGAGCCAGCACCACTGGTTTCAACGGGGAGCGCTCGCCCGTGAACCGGTTGCGTAGTTCACTGAAGCTTTGACAGCTTCCAGTTGTTGGCATGGACTTGTTGCCCTTTTCATTGTTATTGCTACTTTTTGACGAGTTTTCCATTGCACCCGGCCACGGAGTCGATGGTGGTAGGATCAGTTCGTCGTCTTCGAAGTCGTACAGCGACTCGGAATCAGATTCCTCGGACCGCGTTGTGATCACTACTCCTGTTCTAGGACGAGAGCGACCTGCACTACGGGCGTGTTGCTGCATCGAACGCAGTTGAGCCTGACGAGAAGCTGGTGATCTGGGTTTATTGCGGTGTCCTGAACTGCTATGGACATCGCCGTGTCCATCTTCCTCCTCCGGTGGACGGACGAGGTCCTCAACCGAGCGGTGCCGCCATTTCTTGGCCAAGTATACGACGCTGCGTTTATCCTCGTTGATCACACTGGCACTGGCCCCATACTCTAACAGCACTTGTGTAGCCACTTCGTTCCCGTTCATTGCTGCAAAATGCATAGGCGTGTTGAGCTTCATCGACTTGGCGTTCACGTCTGCCCCATTCGCGATGATATCACGCAGAAGCTGTCGGTCTCGACAGAAAGCGGACAGATAATGCAATGGACTGTGCGCTTGTTTGTTCTGATGAGCAGGGTTTGCCCCGGCATTCAGGAGAAGACGCACGATTTTCAGCTTACCACCAAGACAGGCCTGTAACAAGGGGGTTTGACCGTCCGCGTCGACTGCATCCAGCATCGCACCTGCTGTTAGCAACTCCGTCATCACATCGACCTCCTCTGTAATGACTGCCAAGTGCAGCGGAGTCCAGCCACCGTCTCTGGTTGCGGCGTTGACTTGCGCCCTCCCGCTCCGAATCAACGCCATCGTAACCTTACGGAAGTTCTTGATGATCGCTGTGTGCAAGCAACTCTGTCCGTTCTCTTCGTCTATACTACTGAACGTTGCCTCCTGTTGATCCATCGGGGTATATTTCAAGAAGACCGTGATAAGTTTCTCAATATCAAACGTCTGTTGCATAGCGAGATGAAGCGCGGTGGAGCCTCCGCGGTCTCGCAAGTCTGTCTTCGCACCAGCCAGTTTTAACAAGAGTTCAACACACGCGATATGTCCACGAAGCGCTGCAAGATGCAGCGCCGTTCGCTTCTCGTCGGGGGTCACAAGATCCACCAATGCGATGACATCATCTCGTATCGAGCTCTTCAGTAACTCTGCTAGAACACCGTCACTTCCGTTCGCAGCTGCAAGGTGTAGTAAGGAATTCCCGCTGCTATTAAGACTCAGCAAGATACCTTCCGTCTCTTTCGTTAACAATGTCACGAGGTATTTAAACAACTCGGTCAATCGACACTCCGCCATCACATGGAAAACACTCTATTTAAACACAACAGCTATAAGTCATTAGGTTCATTTCGGTATCTTCAAAGCAAGACCTACCTTCTCGAAATTATCTTTCGTGGTTAAATCGGCTCCCACCTTTAGTAATAGCTTCACCAACGCCACGTCGTTGGTCTTGCACGCTCGATGCAACGGTGGTAATCCCGCCTTATTGGTGCTTACGAAATATATGCTCTTGACGTCGTCAGAAGCGGCCGACAGAGTGACGTCGAGATATTCTAGTAGACTGAGTTGAATGGCCATGTTCCACTTGTCCGTGTCGGACTTGAGTTGAGTCAACATGGCGGTCTCCTGCCTCAATTTCTGTTGCCTTGATGCTTCATTGCGACTCTGTTCGGCATGTGTCTGAGTAGCGTAGTGGTCCTCCCACATCATCTGTCGAGTCTCAAGAGCTTCACGTTTGCCATTTTTCAGCACTTCGAGACTTTCGGCGCAGTCGGAAATCGCCGAAGTGTTGAAATCTTCCGAGCGATGCACAAATTCCCGTTGGTAAATCAGTGCTGCATGCACTTGTGTCTTTGGAACCTGTCGTCGGCGAGGGTCCTCGGTCATCAAACGGAGCCGCTCCTGTAGCGACGCCATCGCGGATTGTCAAGTGGCTACATTTAGAGCTTCCTTCAATATCTAATAACAGCTGAGTACTAAGTTATGCAGTTAATTGCGAGGTATTACAAAAACGACAAAGCGGCCGAAGAAGTGACCAGGCACATTGAGCAGCATGTTCGACTACGCTGCGCGTCAGTACCGCTGGTACAAGCTCGAGTTTGGGCTCACTATGCTCAGCGGGTGGGAGGTGGCTACCTTTAGTGCGTGCCCTCGTCTCCATCCATCCAGTATTGACCTCAATAGACCGCTCTAACATGACTTTCTAACCTAAATGAACAGACTGCTTCTTACTGCTCGTGACAAGTGTGACGGGCTACTACATCTACAGCGTTGGCAGCCATATCGCGGGGCTTCTTCAGAACTAATAGAGGGGGACTCCGGACTCCAGAGAGAAGATCGGTTCAAACAGAACGCAGGGACTTTGCACATAATAAAAAAAATGCAAGTGTAACGTTGGCGCATTCGGTCTTTTATGGTATTTTTACTTAAAACTTTAAGAGTTCGTTTCGTGCACGACATTCTGCGCAGCACTTATTATTAGGGAACTGTGCGTAGCCTTGAGGACAGAAGAACGGCAGAAACCTAAGAGCAGGATGGAGGACTTTGGCTGCGACGACTTTGAGAGTGCGTTGTTGGTACCTAATGAGAGGATGGAACTCTGTGCTTACTGTACATGACCTACTTCAGAGACGCTCAAGGTGATTGTGGTGGGGAACGGAAATGTGGGCAAGACGAGCATGGCGACGCGCTATGCCAAGGGCAGATACACGGGCACGTACAAGAAGACAATTGGGGTGGACTTTATGGAGAAGACGGTGGAGCTGCGTGATCTGGGCGAGACGATCAAGCTCATGATCTGGGTTACCGCTGGCCAAGAAGAGTTCGACACTCTCACGAGTAGATACTACAAAGGTGCATTGTGCTTGGTTTTATCCAAGAAGGGGGTTAAATAATTTATTTAATAGCTTCTTGCTAACTTAGGTGCTGGTGCTGTAATTTACGTGTTTTCGACGGTGGATCGCGCCTCGTTCGATGACTTGCCCAAGTGGAAGCGCAAAGTGGAGGAGGAATGTGGTCCAATCTGCAGTGTGCTGGTACAGAACAAGATCGATTTGGAAGACGACGCGGCCATGACACGTGACGAGGTTGAGGATATGGCTGACTACTTGAACATGCGTCTGTATCGCGCCTGTGTTCAAGACAACATCAACGTAGGCGAAGGTGCGAAGGCTGCGATAAAATAAAATAAACTGTCGAAACCACTAACACAAAACTATTTAGTTTTCCGCTATCTGTGCCGCAGGTTCCTAAAACGTGGCGATGATGGCGACGAAGCAGTTCACGCTGTCACCGACATCACGTCGCTGAGTCAAACTTCAACATCAAAGTCCACCTCGCGTCATAACGCACTCGAAGTCCGAACGAAGCGCGAGATTTCTGATTCCTCCGACGTCGATTCGGACCGCACGTCGACTGCTGCTCCGTCGCCGACACATGTGAGCAAGGCATTTCCCCCCTCCCCACCTACAGTAGCCGATCGTGACTATGCGAGCGACAGTGGAGATGAAGACCCGGATTCTTCGAGAAGGCGCCAGCAAAGCAGTAACGACGTCAACACTGATGGAAAGCAGGACAAACCACGGGACTCTGGCTTAATGACTGACATGGCAGAGGAGTCTCCACGCCGCGCTGCATCTAAACGCGATGACGAGTGCGAAGAAGACGAAGACGAGAGTGTGAATTCTTCCGAGACGCCCAGATTGAGACCAAGCAAACGACGCACAAACGGCAAGAAGACTCACCCACCGCCAGACTGCGTCATTTCTTGAGGCTCTACTCCGAAGTACGCTGCGAATAAAACCACACGATTCCGATTACTGTTTTCGTATTGACTGCACGGCCCCTTCCTTCGAGGGCGGTGCTTAAATGATTCCTTGGGCATATCGTACGTCCTTGCTACGTCTAAAAACTGTCTGCATGGCTTAATAGTGCTCGCCGTGAATTCTCGAGCGCGACAACGAGTACAGATCCGAGAGGAATCCATCCTTGTCTGCGTGGCTGGTGCGGCCGTATCGCGGGGCTCGTCGGCTTTGAGGACGGCCGCCGTCATCCGAGTACATACTGAGGTCGAGGCTGTCGAGCTCAGCCACGGGAGCAGCCTCCACGACGCCAAGATCGAACTGACTCAGACCCAGACCAGACTCGCCGAACGGTAGGGCAGCAACTTCAGCGCCGTCATCGCTATCACTCGAGATGACTGTGAAGCTGCGCGTAGAGCTCGGTGTCTTAGGCTCCGACGACTGGTACGGCGATCGGAACGGAGGTAGAGGGGCCGGGTGTCCCTTCATGTTCGTGTAGCGAGGCTCGTGGTTCTGCTTCCTTGGAGCTGCGTACTGGTCCAACGGAGACTGGTAACGCTCTTTAGGCTGCTGGAATGCAGAAGCCCGGTGTTTCTGGTGCGCACGGTTCTCTTGAACACGTTTGTTGCGTCCTTCTGTCTGCTGTTTGTGCGACTGAGGTGTAGCCGGGTAGGGTGAGAACTTGTCCTCCGCGTCCAGATCGGACAGCGACACAGTGTCGCTACGGTTGCTCTTACTCTTGGTGCGATCACGTGTAGCTGCACGTTCGCGAAGGTATTCGTCGTCGTCGTCGTCCTGACTGCTCCAGTCGCTTGCCCAGTCGAGATAGTTGGATCTCAAACTGGTGTCGGCCACAGAATGCGATGTCTTCGCCAGGGACTTGAGTGCGTTCTGGCGGTTGGACACAGTCCGCGGCCCACGCAATGCCACACGCTCCACCTCCGTGTCCGTGTCACCGCTGTCCTTAACGGCCTTCTTGATGGACGCCTCGAAGTTTAGCGAGTCGATGACGACCGTATTGTTGATGCAGAGCTTGCAGAATCGCTGCTGGTGCGGCCGGCCAGTCTTGGCGTCGATGTGGAAGATGAAGCGGTAGTCCGAGCACGACTTGCAGACGCTTTGGAAACAGCCTGCACACGGGCGGTTGGTCGAGATGAACGACCGGCCGTAGCAAATGTGGCACAACGAACTGGCCGGCCACTTGTTGTGCTGGGCGTGCCTCATAAGCAACGAGTACTTCTTGGCTCGCGCGCTCTTCACGCAATCGGTGACGTTCAACAGTGTTCCAGCGACGACATATTCCGCGAGACGTTGTGCAACGGAGTCCAGGTTGTACACAGTAGACCAAATGAAGCACTCGGCATGAGTGTCGTCGTGGTTACGGTACAGGAAACAGGTCACCTGGTGCTCGCGTTTGACGCCCTTAATAGCGTCGATCGGCCAGTCCGGGTGGTCGATCGAGTGCAGGACGTGGTAAGCTAGCTCGTTGCCCTTGGCATCTGTGGTTGTCCCCATACGCTCGTAAGCAAGCACATCGCGGTGCTTCGACATTCCCCATGCCGCCTTAGCAGCGAACCATTTAATACCGGCGAAGCGGTACGGTGCGTCATCGCTTCGTCGCTCCGTCACGTTCATAATGCTTCCGTCAACCAGCTTGTACTTGAGTAGAGTCTTGCACGCACGGAGATCGTCCGTGGTGTCGCAGTAGAGTCCGTCCATAACGTCCTCCACCGGTCCGGGAATGAGTCCTGTACCTTTAAACAGCGTCACCTGTGGGTCCCGCGTGCCGTACACGCTCTTGTAAATACTAAGCTGCTTGCGACGTCGGACGTGGATCCACGCGTCTTCGTTGGTGTGGCCGCTTTGTGCCGAGTACTCTGCTACTGCATCGCAAAGGAACGACGTCACGTTGCGGTCGTAGCGGGCCTGTTCCTCCGGCGTGAGTTCGATATGTGGGAATGGCGGGATATTCTCTGTCATGGCTGACTTGGTATTAAAGCCCCCGAGAGCTTGTCACAGAGCTCGAGTGCGTCCAAGTCGGCAAATCACTTTGTAAGCGACGACATTGCCAAGGTATTCGGGACGAGGGCGTTGTTCGTGATGCCAGAGAGACGCTTGGATGCACAAGCGAAGTTCGGATGCGAAATCACGAGACCGGGACGTCCGTCTTTTGTAGCAGCGCAGATCTCGAAAATGTATCCGGAGGAAGGGAGCCGCGTGTAACACGACCGGGAATTTGTGGGTCGGGGAGCTTCACAAAGAGAATCCGTCGACAACCTGTTCCCAGTACATGTAACGGACACGTTGTGCCTCGGTGCTCGGCTCGTCTGGAGCGGAGATATTGGAGACTTGTTCGAGTGGAGAGATCCAGCAAAAGGTTCAACGATGCTGCACGATGAGGTGAGTGGCAAAAGTTGTCGGATGTGAAGGTGGCGTGAATGCTGACAGGCACTCAGCATTGCTGAGTGCCTGTAGCCACCTCGGACACGGGTAGAAGCGTCTCCTTTTTTCGGTGGCAGGGGTCAGTGGACAAGGCGCCAAAATTCAGTAAGAACATGCAATGATGGAACGCCTCCAAGCAGCACGAGTGTCTCTACATGTACATTTACGATGTAGCGCTGTGGTCGGACATAAAACATCGGTGCAAACACTGTGGGAATACATATTTATGACGCGAAAAAATTATTTCTCTAAATGAAGTCGTCTTAAAGCCTCTTATATTACATTACCGGACCTGGACAAATAATTAGACCAAGCTCGTCAGAAACTCTATATCCGGAGGGTATTCCGACTCTTTGATTTGCATCGAGGCCTGACCGGAATGTGTGGTGTTGTGCAACACTTTTCTAAATATTTAATTATTTTACGTGTACCGTAGCACTTCAATGTGGTCCGTAGCCACTTCTTTGGAAAACTACAAGTGCCTTGAAGGTACTGCCTCCCGACAGACACGTCGTCCTTCCTTGTCAACGCAAGATTTCTACATCAATGGTAAAGTATTTCATGCACAAATATTAGAGCTCAAGCGGTACATGAATCCCTTCCTGGTGTCGAGTTTCGACAGTGTCTTACACACCTTTTGCAGAGCAAACTGCTCGGCGGAAAACACTTGAGCAAGCACAGCTGGTCTACAACTTTACCAAATTTGTTTCCAGCACCGTGACTGCCCACATGACGTGTCGCCGACATTACTTAATTAATTCACTCTGAAAATTCGGCTTCAGATCTAGATCGCGATCCTCCGTGCCATAGATAAAACCCTGGACTATCGATTGCTTAGTTTTTCAGTCTCGTTAGCGCCGATCAACGTCGACGCCGTGGATCATGTTCTGAGGCTCACGCTGTATGGGATAAAGGGATTGCCTGCTTCAGCGTTTAAAAATAAATAGTACCGAGACAGGTTTTTTGAATGGATACATGTAGTAAATATCAATACTTTTACTTAAATCTTATGGTGTATCAAATTGCTCGATTCTAAACCATAGGACGCTGACAATGCACCTTACCGGTATATATACTTCTGCATCCGGAATGCGTGGCCCACGAGCAGCTCCCATGTGGTGTTGGTGCCCACATGGGATCGACGAACCGAGAATTCTGCTCCTGAGCGTGATCGTGATGGCATGTCGGACAAGGATGCATGTGACTTATAATAGCAAATGTCTACATGTTCAGTCCGACACATGGCTAAAACAAAGAGGTCTGCATTTTGTTGCCGCTGCCGGGTTGTTTTCGCTCATGTGTTGCCACCTCGTCCGGTGCATAGCCAGCGTTCTTTTGTAGGGGCCAAAAAAAATTGGCAAGGTGGCCGTACTGTACCCATAGGAATGACAATCGCCACATCCCTGCGTAGGTCTCGAATCTTTTTATACCGATACATGGTTTTTATCGTCGAAAAGCGAGTGGCCGCTCTCAGTTCGACCAAAGCGCTGCTTTAAAAAAGCATTTTATCATCTAAACAAATAAACTTGATGTTTGAAATTTTGTGACACTTCGTGCGGAAAACCTCGTCGTTTACGCGGAAATATTGTGGGTTCAAAGTCGAAGTTTCCAAGATGGATTGGTTGAATCCAAAAGTGGGAGTTTGATCTGCTCACAGCTCACTAATAAGCTACCTGACTTTAAGGTCTACTGTGTTCCTATTCAGCTTGGCGAATGAAAAAATGTTTCTTCTAGTTGAGACCACGTAAAACAAAATGATACTTACGAACCTAAGTACGAATCGCGAATTAAGCACTCTAAACGAAAGCGGGGCGTCTCCTCTACCTCTTGAGCCCTTATACATGTAAGCTACAGAATGCTTAAAACGGAAGAAGTTGTGGTCGCTCAAAAATATTATCTTCATTTATGGGCCCTCGACGATACATTTAGGAGTGTTGTGAGCTCAATATTTTTTCGATTTTAACAAGCTATTGCTAAAAGCAATTAAACAAGGGTACTTTTACAGTTTTTTCGATGGAAGTTTACAATAAATGTTACAGTTTCGGCTAAGTGCGAAAATCAATTGGCCAACTTTAAGCTCGATTATCTTGAGCTTTAAGTTAATGGTTTATAAGTATTATTTTGTTTGACGCAGTCTCAGTTGCTCTTATTCGGAGGAAGCCTTTCATTCGGCTTTATTGATGCAACCTCTAGCTTCACTTGATTTTATCGCAAACTAAGTGACACAATATCTTGGACAGTGAAAAAATCTGAGAATCGTCGTTGTGCTGTCGTACCGTTGGAAGCAATGTTCGCTGCCATCTCGCGGTTCGAGCGTTCACGACCAAGCACTGCTCAATTTAATGGTATTCGACTAGCAGCCCGCTGGTCGACCATCGCAAAGAACCTGAAGGTCCGGACCGCGTCGTACGGAGCCACTTAGTGAGCGAAATGGCTTGGTCTCCTTTACTTCGGCACCGATATGATGGACCCGTGAATTCCTCACGCTGGGTTGACATAGTACATGTGCGATTTGTCGCGGTCTCCTTCTCTTGTCGGGGTCGTGTATCTTGTGAAAGCCGACGTAGGAACTTAGACGTATTAGATGTGTAAAATATACTTGTTTCTTATTTGTTTTCTTGAGCACTTCTCGTAAAAGAAGGAAATTCACGACTGAGAGCTCTCTCACCAGCTCTCTACCTTGCCAAAGTACCTCCTATCAACACCAGTACCTCTAGTTGTCGTTCGTAAACGGAGTCGGCGTACCACTGTCTGAACTCCTTCGTTCCGTTTTAGACTAGGGACGAGGTAATCGGCGACGGGAAACGAGACTGATCGGGCCTGACACTCTTCTTACGCCGCTCGCTAAATTGCCGTAGACAGTCGTCCAGAATAGCGAGTCCTTCCTCTAGCCGAAGACCGTGACATTTCTCCCCGACTGCAGCTCGGAGTCCTCGCCGAGCCTCATCCTTTCCAACAGGTCCAATCGCCGAGTCGACCGACAGATCAGGAACGATCGATCTCGTTCCAATCGACGTCGAATCCGAATTTCCTTGCGCCACAGAGGTCGTATCATTAGGACCTGCACGCAAATGGTCGAGGCTAGCTCTCTCTCTCTCCTTTCTCGTAGTTCCTTCCGACTTTCAAGCTTAGCCCAGCCCTTCTGTGCGGCCTCAATTCCAGAGCCGTCGACAGTCTTCACCCGTGACGCCTAGTAGTACTTCGTAGCGTGGCTATAACAGCCCAGTACCAAGACGAACACGTTCCCAATGAGACTCGCGACCGAAAATTCCAGCACCACGTCCACCACTAGGGTAGCTAAGGCAACACCCATCCAACCACATAGGGCACCTTCCACGCCTTCGTAGAATACTCTAGGCAGGTAGAACACAAGTGACAACAACAGTTGTCCCACCAGACACACGCCCATCAGGTACTCGCCCACTCGATCGATCGAGGCTACCGATCTTGTAAGCATTCTCCCCGACTTGACCGACAATACGGTACGGGCCGTGCCAAGAAAATGCCAACTTCTTCGTCTTGTTTTCGCCAACTTTTGCCCTGAAGAACTGATAGACCCAGACGGGATCGCCTACTTCGTACGTGACCTTGACTTGCTTATTCAATCGCTGCTCGTGACGATCTTGGGCCTCCAATAGCTGTCGTTCCACCAGGCGCCTTGAGTCGCGTAACGACAGATACAACTTTCTCCGGTACGTGGTAGTCTTGTTGCTTTTCCAGTCCTTTCCGGTGTTGAGGAAGGCTAAGTCGATCGGCAGTATTGGGTCACGACCGTACAAACTGAGAAAGGGAATTTCCAAGACCTTCATGATAGGCAGTCCGATAAGCCAATAGGACTCGAGGTAAATAGATATCCCAATCGGTCTGAGTTTCACTCACGATCATCTTAGGCATTCCCAGCAGCGTCCCGTTAAACCGCTCTACCAGTCCCTGAGTTTGGGGGTGGTAGGCGGCTCCAAACAACTTCTTTATCCCTAGCGTCTGGTACAATGATCGTGCCAAATCCGATGTGAAGTTCATTCCTCGGTCACTAAGCAGTCGTTCCGGAACGCCGTGACGGCAAATGACACCTTCGAGCATAGCGTCTACCAAGGAGATCGTGTCCAACGACGCCACCGCGAAAGCTTCAGCCCATCTCGTGAAGTAATCCACGAACACCAAAATATACTTGTTCCCTCGTGGAGTGACCACTAAAGAACCGACGGCGTCAACCACCAACAACGAGAGCGGTACCGATAACTCCTGGATCGGCATCTTCTGCATTAGACCAGCTCTCCAGGGTCTACGACCTTTACCACCACTACATATGGCACACTCTTTCACGTACTTAACCACGTCCTTTCGCCATCCGTGCCAGTAGGCATGGCGCCTTACTTTGTCCAATGTCTTCGTCTTTCCCAAATGAGCAGAGAATATGTCAGCGTGACAATAATGTAGAGCAGTCTCGATAAACGGTAAAGGGACGACAGGAACTGTCACGATCCGCGCAGGACCAGCACGAGCCCCTAAGTGCACGAGACGTATAAGGACCTCGTTCT